AGTTTTTCTTTCAAATTTTTAATAATAAACAAGACTACATTACCAACAGGTGGTTACAGTAAACTGTATTATCGACAATTATGACATCTATGAGTTTTCATATAAAACTTTCGATAACAATCAAAACTACATTTCCGACAGGGGTAATTGTAGTAAACTGTATTATCGATAGATGGTTAAAGTAAAATCTATTATCAACTTTTCTAATACTTGTTAGTTATTTTTCTTCTAGATAGGATGGAACCACTATTTGCTTACATGATTCATCCAAAACACTTGTATAACGTTGCTAATTTCGTCATAGAAGTAATACATGACGAAAGAAAGATCAGATGAATAATCGTATAATCAAAGAATGAAATCAACACATTATAAATTATCACGAAAATATTAAACAGAAGACAAACTCTTGAATTTTACAAAACACACACAATTCATTTATAAAATCAAAATACGTGAATTGCGACAGTAAATGGATTAAAATTACACGTAATCAAAGTTATTAGATATATTTTTTTTTTTTTTTAAATAAATCAAGCGTAATGCGTATCGCAGTACGATCATGTGACACCAGTTAGAACAAACATACAAAAAAGAAAAAAGAAAAGATAAAAGAAATATGATATGGAATATGATGGATTATCAATGGTAAAAAAAAAAAGAAAAAGAAAAAGAAAAAGAAATAAAGAAAAGAAAGAAAGAAAGAGAAAAAAAAGTGTAGTATCTTATCGATTATGGCGCGAAATGTGAAACGATATCTCGAGTTGCGCATACGATTCGCGTATAATTTGAAATTGACCAATGAAATGATCGCGGCAATTTGATCATACACGAGCGCATGCGCAATAGGACAGAAAGAAATAGAATGTGTATGTATATGTGGGGCATGCGGATTTACAGTGGTAACTGGTGATGGTGGTGGTTAGTCGGGTGTGAACAGTGAGGAGAACGGAAAAACGATTTTTACCGTTGTCTACAGTTCACTATGATGTTTCGACAATGATGGACGGATCGTTGTTGTGTTGATCAAAAAATTAGAGAGAGAAAAAACAAAACAAACAAACAATAAAAATACAATCAAAAATATCTCGTCAAGTGACGTTTCTGTATATTTTTTTTATTTATTTTTTTTTTTTATCACGGTATAATTAGTTTTATTTAAAGTGTTGTTGTTGGCTACTTGTTCATTGGCTGACGGAATCTATTTGGCAATATCCATCGTATGATATATTTTTCAATAGTTATAATTGGTATGTAATAAATATTTATTCATATACATATATACATACATATATACATATATGTAATTTCTAAAATATAATGTTCATACATGTGTCATTGATTAATATAATTTTATTCGCATAGAACATATATCAATATTTAACAACGTAGTAATTCGCTGAACGTTAACTTGATTAACGTAGTAATCGGTCCCCTTTAAATATTATTCTAACCTTCTAACCTATTTTTGCAAACGTATAATTAAAACTTTGATAACACATATATATATATCTGTCATATTTCGTATAGTTGTTCGCAATTTTAGAAAGTAAAACATTTGCTTGATTATTATGATGATGAAAACGGTGTGTTCATATTTCTTTTCTCTTCTACGTATTAAATTATATCAATAAAATTAAACACGACGAATGTATGTTAATTCATAATCTATAATATCGGTCTTCTTGTGTATTCTCCAACACACAAATAAATACACATGTATTATTGTAACAAAACATTTCTTTTTTTTTTTTTTTTATTCTATTTAATATGTATGTATATTTTTTTTTCTCTCTTTAGGTATTCCATTTTATCTTTGAAAATTATTCCGTGAAGAAAAATGACAAATACAAAAAAAAATGGAATATAATTATATTGGGGGAGAGGGGGGGGGAAAATTAAATTACACACTTATGAAAAAAAACACACTGGCGGGATTTCGTATTTGCCGCAATGAACTTACGAACTTCTAATGCTAATTAATAATAATTATAATAATAATAATAATAATAATAATGAGAAATTTGATTGATCAGTTGGACATTGCATTAATGGCGAAATACGAATGTTTCGCTATTCCATGTTAATTATAATTTTATAGTACAACCCTATATTATATAAATGATGAAAAAAATTGGTTATATAAAAAAAAAAAAGAAAAAAACACAGAAATTACAAAAACAATTTATATTATATAAACATTTATTATTTGATATTTTTAATTGAAATAGAATTCCTAATAATTCGATTCACGCCAAAAAAAAAGAAAAACTATTTTAAGATCTGTAGCACTTGAATACGCTATCTGGTGGCTAAATACAAAATTAGAGTAGATAGGTCGAATTGCTATGCTACGTAGTGGGATCTGTAGCACTTGAATACGCTATCTGGTGGCTAAATACAAAATTAGAGTAGATAGGTCAAATTGCTATGCTACGTAGTGGGATCTGTAGCACTTGAATACGCTATCTGGTGGCTAAATTCAAAATTAGAGTAAATAAGTCAAATTGCTATGCTATGTAG